CTGGGTAAAGTGAATGAAGTGATGACTACAGCAACATGCTATGAGATCCTGGAGTCCAAGAAGAAAATGCTGCGGGATTTGAATGAGCAGGTGGAGGTGCATAAGAGTTTGGATATCAAGCATGGGAAGTCATTCCTTGGCTTTAAGGAGAGTGAAGAGGATGGTCAGCTTGGGACTCTGCTCTTGGAGGAGAAATGGGAGAGAGATGAGACCTTTGCTAGCGTGAACAACTCAACCCATATTGCAGCATACTCCACAAGTGAAATGGTCGTGGCACACAATGGTAAACTGCGTACATTGGATCCAGTGGGGAAGTTGATTTCTGCAAAGACCAACAAACCTGACCCTGATAAACCAAACGAACCCCATGACCCTAATGACATACAGAAAGCAACAGCTCTAGCCATCAACAAGGATGATCAACTTCTGATCCTAGACAATCCTGCAGTCAAGATCTTCACCAAGGAATACCAGCTCCTTCATCAGTTCCTACTGGGTAAAGAGGCCGGCATGGACGGCACGCCGATGTGCCTGGCAGTGGACAGCAGCAATCTGATAGCAGTGGGTTACAAGGACAAGGAACAGATATCTCTACACAACCCAGATGGTTCCCTCGTCAGAACACTGCCTGCTCCAAAGATTGATACATATTTGATCTTCAGCAACAAACGACTTATTTACACCAACAGCAATGAGGGTTTGTTGATGGCTGTTGACTTACATGGCAACAAACTGTTTACCCAAAGTTGTAGTGATCCTGAGGGGCTGTGTTGTGATGATGCAGGTGATATTTACCTTTTGGTCTCAGATCAAATCTGCCATTTCAGTGCAGATGGCAAGTGCATTGCTTCATGGGGCTGTCAGGGTGGTTCTGATATCACATACACACCTGCACATAAATTAGCAGTTACATGTAGAGGAAGGTGGGACAGGTGCCGTTGGCTTGTGTACACCTTCATGTATCACTTGGTTTAAAGATATCAACCAACATGTAATTGTTCAAGCGATCAAAACAAAAGGCAGGGAATAAAAAATAAACAAATTTCTGAAAATGGTATCAAGACATTTTATATCTTCAAAACATCCATGAAAATTATTGATGCTCCATGCATCCATGGACATGTGCAATGTACAGAAACTTTCTGATTGCAACTTCACAAACAGGACAGACTTGAACACTTTGAGCAGGATATGGGATTGTACACATGTACATAGAAAGTTTACATGTGTTATATTACATTTAGTATCGTACACATGTACATCAACCGTAGTCATATGTGCAAACTTATTTGGAGCTTGTACAGTTACATTTTATTTACAAAGCAAAAGACAGTCCATTATGAATGATCTTCTTTGTAGATCAGTGTCGATGCTGCCCTTCGTTTGCTCAGTGCACCATAATTATTTAATGTATATTCTTGTAACTAACATGCTTGAGTGCAAACACTGGTGCAGGTGACATGCAGCCTGTGTGACGTTGCTAAAGGTTTAAACGTTTAAATTGGGCTGAAATTGATTTGCTAAACATTTCCAAAATAAACGCAAATCATGGAGGGCCAGCTCCATAAGAATGTACCGTTATACCTTGGAATGTTCTTAACAGACGATTAAATTTCTTTTGAGACTACAATGTAGATCATTCTAATTGCAGATTCGGAAACACTAACTTTAACTTCCCAACCAAGCCCTCTTTGTATCTTGGTTTCGCCCAATATTTTAAATTGAATGCCCCTTTTATCTTAACTTTAAACTGCTTTGTATTATGAGCACATGTATGCATTGAAGCCTTTGGTTTTAGTAGCTTGGTCTTGGGTTAGCACAAGCATTAAACTTGATCAGGCATTTGTAGGCTCAGAATAAAAAAGACAGTTCTCCATTCATTTACCCAAACAGTGTGACTACTTCTCTCCTTGCTGTGGTTTATTTATTAAACTATATTTCAATGATCGTGTAACATTGTTTTGCACCACTGAAAACAAACATTTCATTGACAATGATTACCAATGACAATGGTTATTGCAGATGAGTTCTGTTTCATCTTGAGTTTTAACCACTATGGATGGTTACCCAGACCAGTGCTATGGGCCCATGTAACAGAATGCCTATAACTTGCACTGGGCCTCTCTGCCACACACAAAAAAAAATGTGTGGAAAATCTGATTGGCTTTTCCGCAAAACCTTGGGGAATTAAAAGCCTTTGTTGCTGTACTTGTTATTATTTTTTTATCTTCTTCATGTTTTTCTATTCCAAATCCCATAGACTTTCTACACGTTTTTTTTTCTTGCCGGCATTGACATTGACACGGTATCAATGTTCTGTCCGAAATGACAATTTGGCCCATATCTTTGGCAAAATACATTCCAATGACTTAAAACTTTCTGCAGTAGTAAAACACCCAACAACAAATATTATGTAGAGGAACTGAAAGCAAGGCATTCATGCTTTTCATGATATGGTCATACCGGTATGTGACACATTGTTTCCCAACCCGGTGGAATTTAACCCATACAGGTTATCCTCATCAACTTTTTATAAACTCCCTCTGCCTATACAGTACATGTACATGCATCAGAGCAGCCGGGTATAATGTACAAGTACAGGACACCAACTAGGGCCCAATTTCCTAGAGCTACTTCAGCATAAAATTTGCTTCAGCACAAAAAACCCTTGTTTAATATAATCATGTTACCGGCCAAAACTCACTGCGATGTACATTGCTTGTGACTGGTATTTAGCTGTTGTTTACTTAGCATAACAGTCGCATGGAGTTTGGGTAACGTGATTATATTAAGCAACATTTTTTGTGCTTAAGCAAATTTTGTGCTTAAGCGGTTCTATGAAATTGGGCCTAGCCACAACAACAATATGCTGGAGGTCAGAGATGTCTCATAAAAAGCTATTCATAAAAACCTGGGAATTGTGTTCATGAGGAAATAGTTCAACGTTTACATGTACGTCACAACGACAGCAGTTGCTGTGCACTTGACTGTGGTAGTGAGGCACTATTCAGTAATATTGGACAATGCGTGAACAAAACATACAGTCGTGCTGTTGTAGTATACATGGGCCTACATGTACAAGAAGGGTGTGGCTGAGTCTGCTGACAGACTGTATGCAGGAAAAAACTTCAAACTGTACCCATAAAACGGCTACATTGTAGGTAAGTGGAGGATGAGAAATAATGTTCATGAGGAAACAGTTCAATTGCGACATCGCAATGAAAGCTGTTACAACTCAGTAAAGTGAACTTGACTGTGGTAGTGAGGCACTATACAACGTGTACAACACGTACAGTACAGCAGTGAGCACTGTTGTAGTACATGTAGCAGTACATGTAGGGTGTGGCTGATTCTGCTGACAGACTGTAAACATAAAGGGGGGAAAAGTTTTGAACTCGACCCATAAAACGGCTACATTGTAGGTAAGTGGAGGATGATAATCAAGCTAGCACAGGAGAAATACAGCACCATGGGACCCTAATGGAATAAGCCAATGTAATTAGCTTTTGGGGCCCTGTATCCCATGCAGACACAATGGATTGTCCTTTGATTCTTTCTGACTGTCCTATCTCTATCTTCTGGCAAACTTAAATTCTTGATCCACAACACTATTCAGTATTGGACAATCCGTGTACACAACATACAGTTGTGCTGTTGTAGTAATAGTAGGGTGTGGCTGATACTGCTGACAGACTGCATGCAGGAAACGACTTCAAACTGTACCCATAAACAGGCCTGTTGAACTTGTAGGTAGGTGGACAATGTTATGGGAATATACATTTGCCTTTGCTGTAATTTTCAGAAATGGATGGATTTTGGGGGTTAGTATTTTACAGCAAATATTGTTACACTGACTTGTTTGACGTTTTGAGTTTGTAGATGCTACAAAAAACAAGGAAAACAATCATTATCTTGTAGTCCGGTTCCCTGACGCCACTTATATTGAAATGGAGCAATTTACAGACGTGGGGGAATTGTAAGGTCAGGGAACCAGTCTAGAAGGCTTGTACCCGTTCATAGATGTGTGATCGATTGCAAACAATATTCAGACTAACTAAATATGGTATCTGGGCAGTAATTGAAAAAAAAGCCATTTCTTTTTCCAATTTAAAATTGATACAAAAATACCACTATTCTTAAAAATGTCAGCACACCAGGTGCCATGATTTTACAGGATGTTTTAGACAGTCATTCGCTAACAGTCCAGTAAGGTATTGCAAAATAATTTTGTAGTTTTGTTTGTTGATGTTTGCAGATGTTGTATATTCCCTTTAATGCAGCCGCACAGGGGAATATAATAAATAGCACCATGACAGACTGCATTATGCTCTCATGTATCAAAGAAGAAATATTGACTGTCATGATGTTCTTTGATTATTTACCTAATTCATATTGTTATGTGCATGTAAAACTGAAGTGATTTCAATACATATTTACATCTACAGGTATGCAAACTGTTAGTGAACTACAGTGGAACGCTGCTATACCGAACATTCGGCTATACCAAACATCTTCCTTGGCTCCTGGTTTTAATGTACAAAATCTACCGCACAGTGTTGTTGAAAAAAGTCAATAGATTAACAAAAAAATCTACCAGTTGTATTAAACACTATTTGGGCCACTTTTAATTCCCAAACATCGAACGACCCATAGTTACATCATGTTTGAATGTCGAAGAGCGATAGATGGCTATTATTCACCCAAGGAATAAAATTAAGGGAAAACCGCCCGGCCCAAGGAATAAAAGGGAAAACCACCCGTAGCTAAAGTTTTGTGAGGACTCCTCATTGTATTGGTCAAAAGAGGGAACCAGCAGTTCAAAATCAATATACCGAACGATCGTTACTATGAACACTTTCTGTGGATCCAACGATGTTCGTTATAGCGGCGTTCCACTGTATACTGAACACGAGTCAGTCTATATTTATACAGTATCTTAGTATGCATAAGTTGAAAGTTTGTTTTTCTTTCCACTCTGATATGGTTCATGTAGAGTACAACTGAGCAAGATGGCAGAAGGAGGTGTGACTGATCTAGTCTTGGATGAGACTCAGAAGGAACTTCAAGAATGTCCTATCTGTTACACTGAGTACAAGGATCCTAGGATGCTAGACTGCTCACACAGCTTCTGCCTGAAATGTCTGCAAGAACTCAGACTGACACAAAATAAGGACGACAAGAATATTGTCTGTCCATTGTGTCGAAAGGAAACTGCCCTGACTGAAGCTGGCGTGGACATGCTACCTGGAGGATCAAAGGATATCAATCAACTGGAGCAGACTGAAGGTCAGGGGTTAAAAGTCATGTGTCAGGCATGTGATGAGGAAAATGAAGCAATTTCTCGATGCATGGATTGCAAGCATTATCTCTGTCAAGAATGCCAGAAGGCACACAATCGAATGGCAGTACTGACAAAGGGTCACAAGATTGTAGCTTTGACAGAGCTACCTGTTGAGTCCCAAGAAATAACAGAGGACACTGAACTCAAGAAAGTTCCCAAGTGTCTCAAGCATCCAGATCAAGATCTCTGTCTGTATTGTAACACATGTGAAGTCCTCATATGCAGTGAATGCACAAACATTGATCACAAAGAATCCATACATTCTCACGTCAGCATCGACCAGGCGGTTAGCAGATGTGAACAAGAAGTACATGAATCTGTATCTAAAACAGAAGAGTGCATTCAAAGATTCATTTCTGCCAACCCCTCTTCAGGACATTTACGTTACCGACTTGACAAGATGCTGGTAAAAACGTACTATCAAATTTCACAGAAAGCAGAAAAGGAAATTGCCAAAATCAGAGAGAAAGAAAAACAACTCAAAATGGAGGCCAGGGCCATTGCCATTAAGCAAGATACAGAATTTGCGTATGCAGAAACGTCTGAGAAGATTGTGGGTGAAGTGAATGAAGTGATGACTACGGCAACGTGCTATGAGATCCTGAAGTCCAAGAAGAAAATGCTGCGGGATTTGAATGAGCAGGTGGAGGTGCATACGAGTTTGAATATCAAGCATGGGAAGTCATTCCTTGGCTTTAAGGAGAGTAAAGAGGATGGTCAGCTTGGGACTCTGCTCTTGGAGGAGAAATGGGAGAGGGATAAGACCTTTTCAGAAGTTGAAGTTGATAAATGGTACTCAGGGCATATAGCAGCATACTCCACAAATGAAATGGTTGTGACATGCAGTGATAAACTGCGTACATTGGATCCAAAGGGGAAGGAGATTTCTACAAAGACCTACAAACCTGACCCTGATCAACCAAACGAACCCCATGACCCTAATGACATACAGAAAGCAACAGCTCTAGCCATCAACAAGGATGATCAACTTCTGATCCTAGACAATCCTGCAGTCAAGATCTTCACCATTAAATACCGGCTCCTTCATCAGTTCCTACCGGGTAAAGAGGCCGGCGTGGACGGCACGCCGACGTGCCTGGCAGTGGACAGCAGCAATCTGATAGCAGTGGGTTACAAGGACAAGGAACAGATATCTCTACACAACCCTGATGGTTCCCTCGTCAGAACACTGCCTGCTCCAAAGATTGATACATATTTGAAGTTCAGCAACAAGCAACTTATTTACACCAACATTAAGGAGGATTTGTTGATGGCTGTTGACTTACATGGCAACAAACTGTTTACTCAAAGTTGTAGTTATCCTCGTGGGCTGTGCTGTGATGATGCAGGTGATATTTACCTTTTGGCTGCAGATCAAATCTGCCATTTCAGTGTAGATGGCAAGTGCATTGCTTCATGGGACTGTCAGGGTGATTTTGATATCACATACACACCTGCACATAAATTAGCAGTTACAGCAAGGTGGAACATGTACATGGACAAGTTCACGTATATGTACATGTATCACTTGGTTTAGAGATATCAGCCAACACATAATTGTTCAAACAATCAAAACAAAAGGCAGGGAATAAAAAAGAAAAAAAGAAAAAAAGAAAAATGAAAAAAGAAAATGAAAAACGAAAATGGTATCAAGACATTTAATATCTACAAAACATCCATGAAAATTATTGATGCTCCATGCATCCATGGACGTGTGCGATGTACAGAAACTTTCTGATTGCAACTTCACAAACAGGACAGACTTGAAACACTTTGAGCAGGATATGGGATTGTATACATGTACATAGAAAGTTTACATGTGTTATATCTTACACATGTACATCAACCGTAGTCATAATATGTTCACATTTATTTGGAGCTTGTACAGTTGTACATATTTCCATGTGTTTAAATGGAAGCGCTAGTCTGATATATTTTTTTTAAACTTCCCATTTCCCAAAATGACATGTCTCAAACTCATAACATCGCCTCAGAAATATAACTATAAATGTTTTACATGAGGTGTTCTATGTACATTGTAGGTTGAAAAAAAAACATAATTATTTCCAATTAGTCTAGAAAAAAACCCCACATGTGTCGCAAGTTCTTCTCTACTTCTATATGTATTGCTTAAAGATATGTTACAAGTGTAAATACTGATCATACAACATTCATTTAGTATCCATATTTCCAGCTACCAGTACATGTACGGTACTCTCCATCATTTCTCATGAAAACAGGTGGGCAATTACAGACATATCCACACGCCTCGCTCCAGGAAGTTTTGACCAATCACAACCATGATTTATACCGGACATTGGTGTGTACACATTTGTGATAATGTGGATGCATTTGCATGTATGACATGTGCACATCTGGCACATGTTGTACTGGTATTTAACATAAGAGAGATGAACGATTTGTTGCCCACATACATGTACATTGTGGGTGGTGCCATATAGAATGGTCTATTCATCGAGGGCTATCTCCGTGAGACGAAGTATGTACTCCATGTTCTTTTCAACAGATCCCTTTTTTTTTGGTTTAAACAAATGAGACCAGCTTTATTCTTATTGGACTTTCAGAAACACAAACTTCAGCAAGATAAACTTCACAACCAAGCCTTCTTTGTAACTTGGTTCACTGCAGTTTCTATACACATTTCTCAAATATTTAGACTGTTTTGTATTATGAATATGAGTAGAGCAGCTAGGACATGAGAGGCGCACTTGCTGTTGCCCTTGTGCATGGTTGGTGGTAAAGGGTGCCGTTTAAACATTGAAATGATAAACATTCTTAATCCATTTACAATTAATTTTCCAAACTGTTTAAACCAAACCCGCATTGTATATATGTTTGCTGTATCTGCCCTTGTATGCATTTCACACACAATAAATAATACTAAAGGACACCTTTAAACCAGTTTATTTACAAAGCAAAAGACAGACCATTATGAATGATCTTCTTTGTAGATCAGTGTGGATGCTGCCCTTCGTTTGCTGTGCACCATAACTATTTATATTCTTGTATACTAACACGCTTGAGTGCAAACACTGGTGCAGGTGGCATGCAGTCTGCGTGACGTGGCTAAAGGTTTAAACGTTTAAATTGGGCTGAAATAGATTTGCTAAATGTTTCCAAAATAAACGCAAATCATCGAGGGCCAGCTCCATAAGAATGTACCACTACATACCTTGGAATGTTCTATATAAATGATTAAATTTCTTTTGAAGACTACAATGTAGATCAGTTTCATTTTTATTGGAGATTCAAAAACACTAACTTTAACTTCCCAACCAAGCCCTCTTTGTATCTTGGTTTTGCCAAACATTTTAAATTAAATGCCCCTTTTATCTTATACTGCTTTGTATTATGAGCACATGTATGCATTGGAGCCTTTGGTTTTAGTAGCTTGGTCTTGGGTATTTGATCAAGCATTCAATTTGGTATTTTGTAGCCTCAGAATAAATGATGGTTCTCCATTTATTTATCTCAACAGTTTGACTGAGTTACATGTGTATGTTGAAAAAAATATTCCTGTCTTTAATAATCATAACAATCCTAATCTTTGGCCTAAGGGGTCCAAAAAAGTGACAGGTTTCTGAGAAGATCGCCAGCTTAAATAAAATACCAAGTTTTAAGTTGATATGACAAGTCTTGTTTGTGCTATGGTGGGAAAACTATTGCTATTGTTTTAACCATAATGACCTTTGCCTTTGATTTATGGGGTCTAAACTCGTTAAGCTTCATTAAGCTGTGTTCAGGCCATGACTTTGCTTAAGTTACGCTGTGTAATGCTGATGCGTGCAGCCATACAAGTGAGTGTACACGTACTGTGCGATGCTGACACTCGCTTGCATGGGAAAGCGTTATCAGGTACAAGGCTGAACAGGTTATATGCTGGCGTGTTGTACATTCTAACATTGGCGTGTATTGTTTACATTTACGTACATTACTTACATTGGCGTGTATTGTTTACATTTACATACATTACTTACATTGGCGTGTATTACTTACATTGGCATGTATTGTTTACATTTACATACTTTACTTACATTGGCATGTATTATTTACATTTGCATATTGTATTGTTTATTTTGGCGTACATGTATTGTTTACATTGCTGTACATTACTTACATTGGCGCGCATTGTCTACATTGGCGTAGATGTATTGTTTAGATTGCTGTACATTACTTACATTGGTGCGCATTGTCTACATTGGTGTAGATGTATTGTTTATTGCTGTACATTACTTACATTGGCGCGCATTGTCTACATTGGCGTACATGTATTGTTTACATTGCTGTACATTACTTACATTGGTGCGCATTGTCTACATTGGCGTACATGTATTGTTTACATTGCTGAACATTACTTACATTGGCGCGCATTATCTACATTGGCGTAGATGTATTGTTTATTGCTGTACATTACTTACATTGGCGTGCATTGTCTACATTGGCGTACATGTATTGTTTACATTGCTGTACATGACTTACATTGGCGCGCATTGTCTACATTGGCGTACATGCATTGTTTACATTGCTGTACATTACTTGCATTGTCTACATTGGCGTGCGTTGTTTACATTGGAGTGTACTACTTACATTAGTGTGTATTGCTTACATTATTGTACATTGTTGATGTTGTGCATGTTGCTGCTTATATGAGTAGTGGGTTAATGTCTCCCAACTGCATGTATAATTAACTGACCCTGGTAATAGAACAGCCCAATTAGATCCCAACTACTCCTGTATATTTCTTGATTATTGTATAATAAATTACGACCATACTTGTTGTGCCGACAATCCTGTTGTCAAGGTGTATTTCTTGCAGGTTTATTGTGCAATTAACAGAGAGTAATCACAATCATCATAATCGGCGGTATATTTCCTCCAAAACGGACCTGCTCCCTAAGCCTTGAGGTCGCTCTGAGTGGTCTCTTGTCTTGGGAAAGCTTGGGTTCGGAGAGATCCGCTACACACTAGGTGTCAGACTTGGTCCCTATGAACTTGGGATGGCCCAGGGAGATCCCTGCCACAATATTATGGCGACCAAAGACGCTATGGGGTCAGCAGAAAATCCCCATAACTTGGTTTTTATTTCCTGAACAATAAAAACCTTCCCCATAACGCTGGCACACGGATGGACAAGGCAGAAACAGTATGCCCCTTCGGCTTCACTGGCGGGGCATAAAACCGCCTTCAATTATTGTTTTCTTCCAAATGATCCCATTTCAAGTGGAATAATTTCACAGGGTATTAGGTACCTTTGAAGAAGGATTTGCTCATTTAATCATTTGGTCTGTTTCCGGGTATTTACCAATGTTCCCAGTACGTCACATCATGACCTTTAAAATGATAACAAACTTGGAGCATTCCTTCCTCACAATAGGAAGTTAAGGTAATA